TGGGTTTTTTCCTGGGTACTGCAATTAAGCCTCCCTAATATGAACAACAGCAACCACAGCAGCAACAAACCATAAAAGACACTAATCAATGGTGCCCTGGAATACCCACTTTGATGTGCATAATGCAATCCTGCTTCTCTGTCAGTGGTGTGGAGGTGCCGTGACAACCAACTGAGCTATAACTTGTGCAGAGCAGAGCTCTGGGTGAATTATGAAAGTAATTCCCTGGCAAGTGTAATTATTTCTCTCCTCATACTCTGCACTCATCATGGGGTCTGGGGAAATTTCAGTGGAATGTAACAGACACACTCTTGGCCTCAGCCACCAGAATGGTGGAACACTTCCGCTAAAAAATTGAGATTTTTGTTTATACCCATTAATAACATATTCTACATTAATGAATTGCACTCATGCTGTTATCCATTAGGAAGGTACTTTGAGGTCTCTCTCTGCACAGAACACTAGCTTCTGCTGATGACTCTATTGTTATACAGCCCATAAATAAAACAAGTATTTTCCCTTCATATGTGAGGTCTGCAATTAAATCTACTAAATGGACTGCAGATGCATGGTTTACAGTAAGTGATTCATCTTGGAATATGATGGAAATGTCGAAGTCACCACAATGAAGTAGCATAGTTGTCAAATTAGGACAATTTCAGAGAGCGATAAACACCAGAGATTTCATCTATACAAGACAACCTTCTTCCTGACTATGACCTATTCCCTGAAGTAGGAAACCCTGTATACGACAGAAATGGTGATGTTATCCTAATTTTTCAAATGAGAAATTGTATTTCCTGAAAGAATAGTGAGGTGATACGGTAGTTAAAAGATGTTTGCTACTAAATACAGCCTCCAATATGCTGAACTTCAGAGAAGCAGAGGACTCATGTGTGGAAAGGAAAAGGTCTATTGTATTATTGAATAATGAATATTTGATAGAAACAGAGAAAAACTGTCCAGTGGCAATATACTCCTCTCTGGAACAGTCTATGCTCTGATTGCTATTGTATAGCCAGTCTGTTTTCTTCACAGAACATCCTGCCACGGTAATACCATTTGAGGAAAACGTAATCTCAGTTTCAGAAACAAAAGGATTCATGGAGAATTCACGCTTTGGGAGAATATCTTGCCTCTGCTCATCAGAGCAGACCTAGACTCATGGTCCAACAATATCCACCATCTATCCAGAAGTGGCCCATGCGGAGTTCAGTTGAGTGCTGCCTGTTGAAGAGTTGCAGAGCCACACGAAGCATGAGACAAGCCTACAGTGCACTGCACGGGCTTTCCAAAAGCAAAGTTGCAGACTCAGTCCCTGCTCCATGCTAGGCTGTTCTAAGATTTCTTGTCTCTGCTAGCCCAACTTCATCATCAATTATTATACCCTTGTACTACAAACTAGATCCAGGAACCATGTGCCCTAAGACACTTTTTGCAGCCTTGGAAATCTGAGTCTGGAGCCAAGCAATGAAAGTCAGAGCAGGAGAGAGAGAGGTATTAGTTTCTTCACAGAAGACAGAGAACTCTCAGGTGGAAGAATGAAAATGGTCCCTGAGAGCATAAAATAATTATTAATTAGTTTCATCACCATCATCACTTATTATTCACTGTATTGATTTTAATTGTCTCCTTCTAAAGCATCAGTCAAAGATTACTCACTGACACCAACTAAGTGTTGGCTCACAAGCCCAGCAAAGTATGTCTTGTCTCCTCAAACAAGTAAGAAATCAACCCAGACTTCCCAGTAGTATCTGATGTGCTGAGAGTGCTCCTTTGTCTGCAGGCAGCTTTTACAGCCTTACTGAAGAGTATGATTCAATGGTGGGAATACATATCTATTTATGGGATCTGCATAGAGGGACTGCATTTAATCTGGCATTCGCATAGAAGAAAGAGGGGTCATGCACCCATCGGTAGTGAAATGGTGCTTTGATTCTGAAGCAACTATTTCGCTTTCAAAAGCACAACAAATTTCTAGTTGTTTCAGAGCATGGATGGCAGAAGAGAGATACCAGGAAGAACTCTCGATCATTTCACTTTTCAAAAAAAAAAGAAAAAATTTTGGAAAACCTCCCTACTTCCTGATTGTTTCTTTATCCAAGCCATCCAAAAAACAAACAGCTTGGAATTTTATGCTCTGTGCTGAAGTTGACAGGATATCATGTGGCATAAAGTCCTATGCCCTTAGAATCACTGTGGCAGAGTCTCTTTAGCATTTCTGCTGCAAAATGCAACTGGATTCTCAAGGGAAAGGCTTAGGTCACTTCATTAAGACACATAGGGACACAGACTAATGTCCACCTAAATGTAGGGTTAGTTCACCTTAGACAGGACTGAAGTGTATAAATCAGCTCCTGGCTCAAAGTGAGAAATGAGAAGGGAGAGACAAACAAACTGAACTGAGCAAGACAAAGGTCACATGAAGGTTTTGTGAACACTGTGTCTCTCCCTGTCCTTTCCCTCCTTCCTACAACCATGATCTCTGCCTCTAGACTGACAGGTGAGCTTGGTTGTGCTCTCAGATACATTGGTTTAGATGAACTGTCATTCATCTGGTGTTTCTACAACAAAGAAAATCAAAGTGCTTATCAAACCTGTGATACTTCTGGTCCACTCAGAACCTCTCGAGATTGTTCTGTTCACCATTGCCAATTAATGAGACTGAAGATCAAGATCTGCTGTGCACGGTCCCTACCTCAGCCCAAGTGAATTGCTCTCAGAGAAACAGGGAAAGAGGAATGTGTGGAGATGAGCCAAGGAAAGAAGACATGATACTCCATACATAAATACCACAAGAAGGATGTTACAGTTATTCTCTGCTTGTATAAATCAAATTTGCCACCTTACAGAACAACAAATTTTTCTCCCTTAAGCTTAAAGCCGAAATTTGACATTACTGGGACCCACCTACAGAAGAAAAGTACTTCCCCTCAGAGCAGCAGCTCAGTCTACCAGTTCCTTGCAAGTATAACAACATGCTTACAGGCATAGGCACCTCCACAAAGCACCTGGTAGGTGGCTATGCAGATATGTAAATCCGTAACTGGATTTCTTAAAATCAAAATACGCTGTCCAAGTTCTCTCGCATGTATCTGGAGATCTCTAGTGTCAGGCAGGAAACACAAACTGGGAATCCCAGCAACGAACTACACGTGTAGCTGACAACATCCATCAAGAGAATATGCATGCATCTGATAACTGGCCATCCCTATACAAATTATAAATAATTTGTGTTTACATTTGGGAACAATTTTTCAGGGACACTGCCTCTTAGCCTGGGCAACTGACTATCTAATATAAGTATCTCTATAAGAGTTTCAGGAATACTATGCCCCTAGGTTGCAAAAATGCTATCAAGCAAAAAGGAGCAAATTATTAACTTACTGGTGGAGATATAAAATCATAGAAAAGAATATCTAGAAGTCTTCCAAACAAATAGAACTAAAAAAAAAAAGTCATAGCAATTATTTTAAAATAATTTTATTTTATTTTGCTTGGCTTTTGTTTATTTGGGTTATTTTTCTTAAAATTTAGCTACAGTTAAACATGAAATAAGTGATAACAACATACTGATGCATTTAATTTCGAAAATGCTAAATGTAAATTTTAAGAAAAAATACACCTTCCATCCAAAGTTCTTCACTGAACACAACCCCATTTCCACACCTTTCAGCCCACCCAGGCTTACATTTATCAATGGAAAATATTTTTGCCTGAAGGTTTTCCCCTGGTTCTTACTCCAGAGAGGCTGTTCCTGCCCAGCAGAAGATGCTAAAAGTCTCTGCCCCAAGACTTCGCAGTCACAGGGCAGGGATCAAGAAGACTCTCCCAGTCCAACACCTGCTGCACTTTTACAGTGTTTAGGTTGACAGTTATCCTTGAAGTTTTAGGGTTCAGGTCACACCTGCGTGTGTTTTCTCAATTCAAAATCACAGTTCCCACACCTATCAAAATAGCAGTAGCTGTGTGGTGTGTCTGGCTTCAGGTTTTTTTGAAAGACAGAGGAAAAGGGGAGGAGGGGCTAGGACACTGGACTTACTGCAAAACTCAGTGATTCCAGGGTTTTCCTTCAGGAATATGCCTTAAAAATGCTGATTTTTTACTGGAAAGACTCACGAGGAGCATGAGGTCTGTCAGAGAACACAGTAGGGAGGTAATAGAGGACATTTGTGTTTCTAGTGGAGGGTCTTAAACTGGGAAAGTTTCCTCACAAATTATTGCACCACATCAGGGCATAGACTAAATGTATGTGCCACTTTGTGCTTGGCAGTGCTATGAGGCTTTACATCCTATAAATCTATAAATTGAATTCATCCTGCTTACACCCTTAGTCTTATAAATTGTTTGACTAGGAACAGCTAATGGATCAGCTGGTGTTTTATTTTTAAAAGATGCATACAATGCTGCTTTTTGGGCACTGGAAAGGATACGGACACTGGATGTACCCTTCCCGAAGCCTGCATCCCAGGTAATGAGGAATTACTTTGTATCCTCCCCTGTCCCCACATGCACACGCTTAATTCAAGTTCTCAAAGGGAACCTCCTGTTCAAAAAGAGAAAGGTCTGGCATTATGCAGAGATGTACTGCAAAGGAAACCGCATGCAAAGAGCGGATGAGGCATCAGCAACAGTGCCAGGTAATGTATAATGCAAAAGGATGTGTATAACTAATTTATTAGTATAAATATGACTCTTAAAAAAAAAAATATGCAAAGAAAACTCTGAAGGAGAAAACCCTCCCTTCCTCGTCCCTTGAGACAAACATTGCCCTCACTAAAACTGAGTGAAATGAAGGAACTTTGCCACAAATGATGCTACAAGTTACTACAGGACACTCACTCCTGTACCTGCAGCATCCGTCAGTGCAGTTACTGCTGGTCATAACTGAAAGAGGGATCTGACATCTCCCAAAGGCTTCCCCACTGCCTCAGGCGGGACCATACCTTTTGTCTTGAAAGAATCACTCTTTGAGCTTACCCCTGAATTTAGTCACTTACCTTTTAGAGAGGCGACATGGGATAAAGCTTGTGCGTAAGTGGCTGTGTTGAGAAGAGTCCCCGGCAGGCAGGAAGGAAAAAAAGGTCCTGTAGGACCCACTGCTCGACTCAGGCTGGTGGAGAAGAGAAAACAACTTGCTCACAAAGCCAGGACTAGCTGGTTCTAAAGACAGCATTTGTGCATGCACACAAGCACGTTAGCATCTCAGCATCCAACTAGATGAGACTGAGCCTGGATAACATTAACCTCCCACAGCTGCCAGATTCTCAGCATCTCCACATGTGCATGAGACACAGTAACATTTTCTAATGATTTGGGCTGTGCATGGAGATGATACTGTGTAGGTCAAGGCTTGGCAGCAGGCAACTCTGCATGTATGTACATGCGTCTGATGCATGCTTGCCACAAAGAGACACAGTTGATAACATGTATTTCTCTTACCTCTGCTGGATCTCCAGACCCTCTTTTTTGTTTCTGGTCTGATCTGCTGGAGAAGGGGAATTTAAATTCCTTGCAGGAGGAGCCACTTCAGCCATTGTTTCCTTAGAGCCCTCTTGGTCAGAAGCACCCCTCTCTGTTTTCCTCCATTTAGCTCTTCGATTTTGGAACCACACCTGGAGCAGGAGAATAATCCAGGCTGAATACTGAGTTTAGACACATGTGAAGCAAGGAAATTGTAAATTGTTACTCTAGTGAATTCAATCTTTTAGAAGCTTGGCTAAAATTTCCTCTTATTTTGTGCCCCCATTGTTATTCTAATTGAGCCTTAGGATTATATTTGCATCTGGAATATTTGTGTCAAGAAAACAAGCCAAAAATTTCTAAAGACATTCAGAATGCATGTTAAAAATAAAATAAAGCAGTTAGCAAAACAATTAAACATATGCTTGCTTTTAATTCTCACTGATTTTTATGTTTTAACATGTCTAAAAGACTGTTGTATAGAATTAACTTAAATATGTATCTAAGCTCTCTGAGGGAACTGTATATAAGTCTTTAAATAAGCTGATGCTAGAGTCAGAGAGGTCAGAAATTAGAAGTTATATATTAGACCATCTTATCCAGTCCTTTTCCAGGAGAGGAATGATACTTGCTGATATTCCTCTTGTCCAGTCTGCATTTAAAGGCCTCAAAAGGTAGTAGATACTAATTTTGGAACGTCATTCTGCAGTTTAATACATGCTAGTTTCCAAAACTCATTTCTCCCTGTAATGCAATACACGTAATTCATGTTCTTTTTATCCCCTGACTTTTTAGTCCAAACATTTTTTTCTTTTTTCCATTTACCTTGGAGCTGATGTTCTGAAAGCTCCTTAGTTAAGGTGGAAAGTGTTGAGTCTCTCTTGCGGTCAGGAAATCCACATTTTAATACATGACTTCAAGTATAAGTGAGATTGTTATTGTTATTATTCTCCTTCTACAACTCCATTTTAGTTATCTGCCTTTTAATTGCATGTATCAGCAAACGTTGAATAATGATTTTATCTATATTCTAAATTTAGAGCAGTTAAATGCAAAGCAAAATGCAGACACTTTCTTGTGTCTTAATTGAATGAAGGTCACAGCTATAACAACATTTAATTGAGCTATTTTTCATTATCATATTTTAATGACTTTGCACTGACAGTTCGCCTGCTTCTGAGGAAAGAGCATGATGAAGTCGTTTATTTCCCTATTTAGTTATTGTTTGACAACATCATCTTCGATTAAGACTCTGCTTTATAGCACATTAATCATATTTGAATGAGCAAGGGGTATAAATGTAAACATATCTCCCCATCCTCTGTTTCCTCATGTCCCTGCATGAAAGCAGGCTAAACAAATGCTTGCATCTATTGTCTGTTTGCATAATAGCCAACAACAAGGCTAAACACCAGCCCTCAGCAATCTCATTGTCACCACCCCTATCTCACCCTTGCACCTTTCAGGAAGAAGTTATGATCTTCCACTTCTGAATGCTCAATAATTGTCCCATTTATCTCAATTTGCAGTTCAGTCTTTAGGCACCAATAGCCAAAATGGCATTTTTTATTATATTTTTTTTAAGCCAGTACCTACAATGCAGTGGCAAAAGGAGATTTTCATTTCCAAATAATAATCAGTTTAATTTGCCCGCATATGACCAATGATTCATGTTCAGATTTAATAATCAGGATCGCATAATCTGATTATAGGAGAAATAATTTGTTTACAATCCCCAATTTACTGTGGTGAATTCCATTATCTCTCCTCAGCCATTGGGTTTTAAGAGATACTAACATGACCCTAGGGAACAAAAGGCAAGCTATTATATTTCCTACAATTAGATCTTTGCATAGTCTTAACCCCGAGCACCCAAATAAAAAAAAAATACAAAAACAGCCTGTAGAAAAGCCCCATAAATAAAATGAATACATAATCGTGTTCAAAATACGGTTTGCAACTCTGTGGTGGATGCCTGCAGTTATAGGGATCCATCTCTGACAACTGCAGGACAATTGTTCTTAGCAGAGCTGCGAGACACAGAGAAGTTAATCTCTGGATATGGAAAAACAAACTCCTGGATTTCTTTTTTAAAAAAAAAAAAAGTAAAAACTGTGGGAAGAGGAAAAGGGCGGAAAAGAGTGGTAGTAGAAAGAGAGTAATCACAGCCAATGGTGTTTATTGGATGATATTAAAGGCGTGGGAATCGCTCTGCAGGCTCTTTAGCTGTCTAAATTTAGAAAGAAGGCGAAAGGGAGAAAAGTTGAAGAGGTGCAGAAGATTTCTTCCTGGCAGCTGGGCTCCCTGAGTTGACTAACCCCACTGCTCAACATTGGTCATAGCTGCTTTGGAGAATCACGTCTCAGCTCTTTTCTCCACACACCCCCCCTCCAAAAGCAAGGAAATGGATGTGCATTGATGTAATTTAGTACCTTGGAGACGCGGACAAATTAGTGTAGAACATTATCACTAGTTAATTATGAATGACCGATTAATCAACCTAATCTAATATTCCACATTATGTTGATGTTATTAAAGTGCATCATGAAAATGACAGATCGTCTTCATTTGCGTTCTTTGGCCAAATGTGCACTCTACAGTCATGATGTCAAAAAAAAAAAAAAAAAGAAAAAGAAGAAACTTTGCCAGTTTGAATACCCGAGAGTTAAAAAATTCCCCAGAATGTTTACCTGCACCCTGGCTTCCGTGAGGTTGATTTTCATCGCCAGCTCTTCCCTAGTGAACACATCGGGGTAGTGGGTTTGAGCAAAAACGGCTTCCAGCGCTTCGAGCTGGTGGAGGGGAGGAAAGCAAATATCCGTCAGAGGTTTAGGGCTCGGTGGGGGTCTCTGCCTCCGCCCGTTACCGGTCATAAGCGGGCCAGGGGT